CGGGAGGAGGCGGGGGGGGACGGACACAACAGCAGAGAGGAGAAGAGGGGGGAGTGCATGTATGGAGTGGGGGAACAATCTCAGTATTGATCAATGTATTTCTTTTTAAACTAGAATTGGGCACAAGACATTGACAGGTACAGAATAAGCAGCTATCTAATGACTGTCAATAAGGTCAAATCTTCCCCAGGACAGGAGAGAATACCTTTGTACTTCGATGCATAAAGAATATGAAGCACTCCCTGATGCACCTGAAAGTACCTAAAATTCTGTGCCCACCTCCTCCCCGCCCCTGTACACACACAGAGGACTCAAATGCACTGTCGTTGCATGCAACACACAAATACTTTCACACAAGCAAATAAGGCCATACTCTTCTCATGTAGTCACCTGTTCTTACAAGTCCAAAATTTCTAGTACATGGTTTACCTGAATAAGGACAGAAGGTCCCATCTGTATTGTACATTCACACAAATTCCCAAAGGAAACAGCAGATATATCCATCCACACAGCTGTGCAAACACTCCAGCACACAGTGGCACAGCCACAGGCACTGCAGCAGAAACAGTCACCCTTGCAGAGCCAAGAGCACAGAGGTCCCCTCCAGCAGGCAGTAAGCTTTACTAATAGGAACCACTGAACACAGCGCCCACTGCATCTTGCCTACAAGGTCCTCATCACCAGCAGCTCTAGCCCAGCTCCCTCTCTTCCAGCAAGGAGGGAAAACCCTGCAGGGAAGTGGGCACTGTGCATTTCGTAAGGGATTCAGGCAGAAGGACCAAATAGAGTTCTTTTATCATGTCCACTATGGTGCTTGCTGAGCAGTTAAGACAGTGTGCTGTGCTGCTGCTCCAGCCCTAAGGACACCGTGGCCTCCCTGAGTAAGGGAATCTCACTCTATATTGCCAGCAGCCAGAGCAGTCTCCTCCCCACCTCTCCCTCCCACGACTGGCCTGCAGCATAATCCCACAGGGTTCAGGAGGTACAGGCACCTCAGAAGGGTCTCCAGGCCTTGGGAGGCCAGCTTTCTGTGGGGCCGCCCTCCATGGGGCCAGTGTTTGACTCGTTGAAAGGGGACAGGAAGAAAAACAGAGAGCCCAGGAGCACACACACATGCTCTTGGCAGCAAGGCAGGGTGGGGAGCCAACTTTCCACCCCCGCCTGGCCTGTTCTTTCCTTCCCCTCCCATTCCCCAACACACTCCTTCAGGCCCCTCCAGAGCATCAGCAGCCATATATCCCTGCTAACATGTAATGCTGGGCCCTTTAAGACATTTTAAGTTTCAGTTCCTTTCTTCGGAGGCAGAGGAAAAACAAGCCAGCATTGCTGAAAGAGCGGTATTTCACTAATGGGGTCCAGATGTCTTCATTCTGCAGACTCTGGGTCCTGGCTTGCAAGACAGAGCTGGGAGAAGCTGTGCACCCACTCCCCCCAGCTCCAGAGGTGCTAGCCTAGTCTTCATCCTGACCCCACTGCACATCTTCTCACCCTGCTCCTTCCCCCATCATCACCTGCAGCTCCACTGCCAGAGTTTCAATCTGCACAAGACAGATTCAGCTCCCTGCTCGTTCCCTCTGGATGGCTGTAGAGCACAGGGGAACTGGGACAAGAGAGCCCACAGAAGTACAGGGTGGGGCAGGCAAAGCCTCCCTGTTCCTCCTGGAGCTTAAGGGAAGAAAGATCATAGTGTACAGCTTTTAAAAACAGATTAGAACATTTCAGGAGCTGTAGAGGGCACGAGTCCTCCTGAACTGGTAAAAAAGGAGAGCTCTGGGACAGACATGCAAAGATAACCATTTGACAGAAGACCATGCACTGCAGACAGCCCTTTGGGATGGAGCCAGCTCCATGCAGGACTGAGGTTTGGGATGAGAATCCCCATGCTCAAGGCTCTCTAAGCTGCTCCTTAAATGCACCAGTTTTTAGCCTGACTCAACTACAGGGTCCAGGTAGAAGTTGCTGCCATTCTCCCTCACAACAGCCAGTAACCAAGGAGTTGAACCTGGGGAGGAAGCAAATAAAAATACACTTCCCTTTTCCCCCTGCTCCCACTCAAAGACAAAGGCTCCTTTCTCAGAGGCTGCTCAGACCTCACCAGCACTGGATCTCCTGTGTTTAAGGGACCAAGACTGGCAGGGAACTGCTTTCACTAGGCAGCTCTATCTCTTGATATGCAGAAGAGAAACAGTGCAGACCTCCAGTTGCTGTTGACCCCCATGGCAGCCCTCCCTCAGGAGGGAAGGGAGGTCCAATCCCCATCCCAGGCAACTGGAACCTATCAACAGTTTACACATCCCCACTGCAGCCCTCCCTCCCACTCCCTGGGGAAGAACTAGGAGTTCTGATCATCTCTCCAATACAGATGTAGCAGCTGGCTTTGATTAAACTATGTTTATAACCACTCGACCTGCATATGCAACCTAGAGGAAAGTGAAGCCTCCCCAAGCAACTCCGAATACAAAGGTCAGGGGTCTTATAGCAGAGACACAGTGATTTAGCAAAAGACATTTCAATGCCTGGTTCTTTAATTAGGAAATTGCTGCCTGCTCATCCATAGCAGCACTGCAGCAGTCTCCATGCAGAAAGTGATATTTAGAGGCTGATTCATCACAGTATTTGTCATCATTTCCACCTGTGGAGAATGAAACAGGCCCACTGATACAAACTAGACAAGAATCCAGACCTAGCTGTAGCTCCCAGGCACAGTACTGTGTGCCTCAGAACACCTGAGGGACACAAACCACAGTAAGGGGGCAGAGCAGTTTCTTAATTTGCCATCAGAAATGCCAACCAACCTCAAACGCATGACTACATCATACCAGGCATTTTTCACCCCCCAGCACACTGAGTAGGGCTAACACTTTCAATCATGTCCTTACCAAAACCATCCAGCTATTCTTTCTCTTATCAAATTAATCAGAAACAACAATTATCTACCTTTGTCTTGCACAGGAAGTAACACACTGTTGACAACGATAATTTCAGCTGGGACAATTCTGTCTGCTCATATCGTTTCCCACTGAAGCTGAAAGACACCACAGCACAATGCCAGAACTCCTAATCAAGATTGTCAAGCAGCTCTACAGAGTAGGTCCATGTTCCTATCAGTGATATTCCACACAACACTAATTTTGATCAGCAGTACTCTAACTGTTCATAATTCAAACAACTTTACAAATAATGTTAACTGGCATGATCAATATAAAAACATTAAAGAAGACATTCCTGATTTGAAGATTTAACAACTGAATCCTGGAGAGGTTAAGTAATTTATCCAAAGTCAGAAGGAGCCAGCATCTGAGCTGCAGCTTCAGCTCCACAGCTCCTATTATGCTCAGAAAGGAGATGGCTTTTTCTTGTGACCAGGAGAGATGCATGAAAACACCTCTGCCATACTCCTTCAGAAACTCACCATGGCTGCCCCACAAATACCAAAAAGTCCAACTCTTGGAACTAACCCATCACACCCTTGATCACAACTGCCACAGCAAGACAAAGATCAAATTCATCCCAAGTGTCTGTCAACTTTCTGCTGAGCCAGGGCTTCAAGCACAGATGTTGCTGCTTGTGCGTCAAAAAAGCCACATTCACATTGATTCAGAAACACTCAGCAGCGCTGAGACCACAGGGAACCCAGCCCAAGGATGCTTTCAGCTTGTGTCATGAGCAGCAGACAGTACTAGAAGATGCATCTCTAACACCCAGTGAACTGAAGGCCTAATCCTCATCAGATGCCTGAGACTCAAGTCACAGAATTGAGCTACTCACCTCATCATCCTTGTACCAGGAGAGGTTCTCTGCTGTCAGGACAAACCAATACTCCTTGGAGCCACCCTTCATGATCCCAATGTTGTTGATGGTGAGCCAGCCCTTTCGGATGACCTAAGGGGGTGGAAGCAGTGAGTGTTAACATGGACCCTAAAAGCCTGGCCTTAGGCAACAAGAGGAAAGATCAGAGGGTATCCCTACACACAGAGTAGTATGGAAAGACAAGGAACACCGTGCTCTCTGCTGCTGCCAGAAGAGCCCCCCACTCAACTGGCCAGTGAAGGTCTCTGCCTCAAAAGGGCCAGGAATAATATAAAAAGGACGCAGGAAGGAACCTGGCAGTGCTGTGCATTATACCCTCTGCCAAGGGGAAAGAGACACAGGAAGAACTGCATCAAGAGTGCCTTGGACACTGGCACGACCTACAAGCACCAGATCACAGAAACACACCCAGAAAAGGCCATGCCTAGAGAAAACCAGGACACCAGCACACCTTTTGGCACACTGCACTTGTGGAGTGCTTCACCCAACTCAGAAGTGGGGGGAACCAGTTCAAGAAGAGACAGGCAAGCAACCCAGAAAGAATTGTGTTTAGTAGAAAGGAGACAGTAAGTGTAACAGAACAAAACGGTGCATCTGGAATTAGTACCCTGGACTTCAGCATACCCAAGTGTTTGAGTAGTCATACTAATTCAGGGCAAAACAAGTTCCTTTAAGTTTAGTTTGTAAATACAACAGGCTATTACTCTCTACAGAACTCCAATTCACCAAGTGCTGGTTTAGAGCCTCACACATGCAGTAATCAAATGCAAGTATGTGTCAGCTTAAATGCATTAGCTTTTATATGTATTACTGCACTGTTAACACCCAAAAACATCTGCATGCATCGTGTACCTTGTTGTATGGATGTGCTTGCTGAAAACAACCTGGCATTGACAAACCATGTGACCACACTGCATATTAGCAAGCTCACTGCGTGAGCAGCCTACTAGAGAGGCACACAATCCTTTTAATTATCAATTTACCCTATAAAGGTAAACTTAGGAGTACTGGATCTTCATCTCATGCCTACTGTTAAGCTCAAGATAGTCCTATTCTCTCTGTGGACGGGAGGGGGCAGTGAAACAGAACCACATATCCTTGGATTACTGCTTTTTTATCTCCACCCACTCAAGATGTACCAGCAGTTTGAATTTTTCCTCAATGTACTACCTTTTCACCTCATTTCTGCTTCACCTGCTAGTGCCAGCTGCCCTCCTCTCCCCATTCAGCAGCAGAGGGAATAATTTGAATTATGCACTGTTCTTGCCTTCCCAGATGCAACATTAATGTTCATTAGCACACCCTGCTGAGTGGCCTTCTACTCACCAGGATCTCATCCTGCAAAGGGGAACCATAGCAACAGCAGCAGAGCAGAGAGCAGGAGAGGAGCAAAGAGAGGAGAGATTGTTACTAGGAAAGCTGGAGCAGGAGAAGAGAGGCTCAAAAATAAAATAAAATAAATTGGAAGCTGGTACCAGATCTTTTACCCCAGGCGTTAACAAAAGCAACCCCCATCCCAAAATAAAATCTGCTAACAGCAAAGCCAGAGTGCTTTACAGGTAGGCCTGGAGTTTGCCTTTTATGCTTTTAACATTCAGCTCTTCTGTAAGGTATACTGCAGAGGATAGGGTTCCCTACAGCTGCTCTGAGATCACATTAAATGGATGGTTGGCCAGCCCAACCTGCTGACCTACCTGCCTGCCAACAGTACTGAAACAGTCCGCATGGTTATGTGCAGGGAAAGGTGGTCAAACATGTTGTAAAGAGGATGGATGTCAGGAGTGAACATCTTTAAACAAAAGCATTTGCTTTCATTCTCTATGAAGCTGCTTGTAAGGCTTTGTTTCTACAAGATCTTCTAGATAGCCTTGCCATATCTCCAGCAAATCCGGGAGAAGGTGGCATTAGCCCCTTTTTAATTGTACATACACTCCTTACAGTTTCTGAAGGAATAAGGAAACTCCTCCCCTCCGCTGCTGTCTTCTCCCATGGATGTGTTCTAATACATACCCAGTGCAACCGTGGCTATAGTCACCATTTGTCTCCCTGTACAGGGGTTTAAGTAATACCAGTGAAGTTTTCCAGAAGAGAGTCCATGAACTCTCTTGAAATCCCCTTCCAGAAAGTAGTTACCACTGATGGGAAACATGACTAGAAAAGACAATTCTGTACTGTAACAGTTCAGACCTAGTGTTCTGTACCCTCACCTCAGCAGAAAAGTTAGCACAGCTAGTGATGGGGTTGAAGAAACTGGGATTTACACACCATTAATAGGGATTTCTACCCGAAAAGCAATACCAGATCTTGATTATCAAGCAATCCTTTTCCTTCTACAACACTTTCCCTCCATTGCTGCTACATGCTTAGTTCTTCCCGACTGCAGTAAGCCTAAAACACCATCCTCCAGGTATAAACAGGGTTTGATGAGTTAAAAAAACAAAACACCAAAATAAACTTAGAGAACCGCTGCATCCAGCCCAGCACTTGTCCACCTGGTAGTTTCCAGGTAGCAAACATGTCCTTCTTGCAGCAGTGAAGGGGATGGAACTTGGCCTACCTGGTTGCCAGCTGCCTTCTTCTTGCTCATCTGGCTGCTCCTCTGCTGAGCACTGCAAACAACAGCAGAGACATTCAAAACCTCTCAGGCTCTTCTTCATTACCTAAATCCTGTTGCCATCAGATGGTTGCTACAGTGAGTTCATGCCCCTCACCACTGGCTTCCAAGCCTTGATAGCACAATCTATTTCCATCTGTTCTCTCAGCCTGGTCTACGCATCTTCTTACTCCCACCTGAACCACACTTGGGTCACTAACCTCCATCACCTCTGCTTCCCCCCCACACACAACCCTACTGTAACTCACCCTTCTACACATCCCTATTCTTCTCCCCAGCCTTGCAATATAGAGCCACTGAAAAACAAGGTATACTGGGAGCTGAACCATACTTTGGGACCACAGCATCTGCATCAGGGCCTTTGCAACCCATTTACCAGAGTAGCTATAAGACAGAGCCACAGGAAACACACGCAGAGAAGAGGAAGCAATAAGATGTGGGTGCTTACTTGGCAAAGCCAATGAAGTCCTCATGGTTTGTGTTCATGTAAGCCAGCTCGATGTCTATTAGAAGCATGACCTGCCAAACAGAGGTACAGACAGAGCAAGACAGATGTTAGTGATTGACACTGCAAACAGAGCCCTGTACATTGTTCACCTGATCAGCCCTCTGCAGCCAGACACCCCTTGGCTCAGGCCACTCTAGCCTAGACTGTCCCTTCAAAGGTGTCCCCCCACCCAATCTCCCCTCTTACACACCCTCCCAATTCCTTACCTGATCTTTGGTCCTGCCTTCTCTCTCGCGGATGTGAGTAGTAACAATCCTCTCCATCTCCTCACGTAGATGAGGGTACTGGCTGAGCTGCAAGAGAGAGAAAACACGTGCACATGGGAAAGGGAGGTATAAAGGGGGGAGGAGCCCCCCACATATGCATGCACACATACACCCTGCAATCAGATATTTTCAAGGGAAGTTCTAGAAAGCTGGACTTGCAGACAGATTTTTCCAAGTTCCTGAAGGTCTGCTGGGCGCAAAGTTCATTCCCTCTTGCTCTGGGCTTTGGTGAAAAGCCCTTTTCACTCTTGCAGCAACCTTTCACCAGAGACCTGCTCCAAACCCACCACATTCTTGCTGGGATGAGGCTCTTGACAAATGCCAGATGTAAACACACTACTTATTGCTTGTTGGGTTCTTCCCATTAAAGCGAACAATTTTTCTAGATGTTCAGCAGCTCATTGTAGTAGGCTAAGTAGGTGGATGGCCTGTTGCTCTAATCTGCTAAATCCTATGGGAAGTCTCCCTGGGAAGTGAAGTGGATTTCAATCACCATTTGCTGAGGCACTAAGTGAAAGCACCTGGCCCTCTTCAACATCTGCAAGCAGAGACAGAGGATCTGACCAACTCAAGGGGACATGCCTTCAAGAAACACTGTGTTCTAAGCACCCAGCTGCTTCTACCTGCTCTCTCTCCTGTGACAGGATTACATAGTTGAGGTATTCACATCACACCTACACCACGCTTTTTGCCATGTTTCCGAGGAGGAAATCCTTTCCTGCCTAGACAGAGAAGTAGGACTTCATTAGTTGCAGTTCAAAAGAACAACACCTACAGAGATCATACATGAGAAACCCTCCCAAAATGAGCACCCTTAAAGCCCACTAGGTTCTACACAGCACCTACCTACTTGCCTTGATTCATAAGCTTCTCGTGATTTCAGTAGCAGTAACTGTATGTTTCTTAGGCCAGGCCCAGCACAATCAAATGAAATTAATCCTCCAGACACAGGATCTGGCCCTTTCTTCCCCACTTTGCCTATCCCCTATGAAATCATTATCCCCCCCCCCTTTTTTTTTTTATAATATTACCTCCCATTTGACTATGTCAAACAGCATTTCCCAATATCAGTCTTCTGTATCCCCTCAAGGGGTGTATAAAAAGAGAAATCTCATTTGCCTGTGATCTGTACTGCATTTTTTTTTGTTCCTCCAATGTACGCAAGAGCTCCTTCTTAAACTGGTTTGGTGTTTTGTTTTGTATGCATAAGCAATTATAATATGCTACAAGGAACTGGCTCAAAGTATGCAGCATCACTACTGGAAACCAGATCCTATTCTAATCAGCAACAGTATTCCCAACATCTGACTACAAATAGCCTCAAACCCTTTCAGCACCCTTGCAGTCAAGCAAGTTACATTAGCCTGGAACTGAAATTGAGGACTAGCTTTGACACTGCCTATTTTCAAGTGTGTGGTTTGTTTTGAATGCCAATAACCCTACAGAGGCAGGAAAACAACCAGCCAAGTAGAATTAGTGATCCCTACCACCACCACATCTTGAAAGCACAAACTGGTATTCTCCGTGATCTTTATGGTTCGGGCAGCTGGTTGCTTCAGAGACACACAGGCAAAGCTTCCTGTTTCCTTTGGGGGGTTGGCAAAGGATAGATGGGCAAGTTATGTCAAACAGAAAAACAGGAAGTTGGAAAACCTCTAAGCAAGTCTCAGCTTCTTTGCTTCAAATTAAAAAAAACTAAAACAGTCAAAGAAAACACATCAAACCTCCCCACCCCTCTCCCAACCCCACAAAGTGCAAAACAAGTTGTGGTTTATTTAGAACCCAGGTCATCCAGCAACATTCATGTGCAAAAATAAACTGACAGCATCAATCCCCATGCATGAGCTTCCAACCCCAAGCATGCACAAGAGAAGCAAGGGTGGACAAGGAAAGAGGATACGGACAAGCCACAGGATATCACACCACCAGGAAGCATGCAATAGGGCATAGAGGGGCAAGGAGTTATCACCAGCAGTACAAACAGCACCCAGAAATGCCATGACTCTGAAAGACAGGAGAGCAGGCGACCCTCTAAGGGGTTAAGTCTGTCAGCCTGTGACCTTGTCCCAGCTCAAGTGGGTTTTCAATCCTGTTTTAGCTGCATTCGCCTGTGCAATCAAAATACAAGCTCAGAGCCCTCTTTGAGAGCAAATTTGTCCCAATGTTCCTCAGCTCCCCTCTTTGCAGATTCCAGGAGTCCTTGCCAGCACTCCAACTTTTAGCTGAAGGGTTGCTGACTTGCAAGACCTTCCCACACTTGTGACATGCTGCAGTGCAGTCTGGCACAGAAGGTTCCTGCTTTTGGAAAAACACTAGCTAGAACACTATCCTCCTAAATGTAAGAGCTTGAATGCTTACACCAGCTTTACATTGCTTTTGGAGCTACTCTCCATTTAATCAACTGGAAGAAGCTCAGAATCAGGCCAGTCAGAACAGCCTTTAACAGATACCTTCTCTTCAGCCCTCAACTTTGTCTAATAGTCAAGAGATAGTCAACTGCAAATCTCTCTTCATACAGGAAAGCTGTACTTCTGTAGCACACAAACAGATGGGTTTGCCTCCTTCTCTGTTCTTTATTAATAGTCTCATTCCATCCATGCAGCTTTATCAACTACACATAGAAAGATTTCTTCACCATCCAGGGTGAAATGAAATAACTGTGACAGCACACAAACAATAACACACAATAGTTCAGGACAGCAACCAACCAAGGCTACAGGACTGTTAAGCTAATTCAAGAGGTGTTAGCCCAAGCAGCCTTCCTTTCAAGAAGCCTTGCAGGACTTCTAGTGAGTTTAAAGGTTTGCTTTTGTCATCTGAAAGGCAGCATCAGTCCACAACACAGCGGGCTGGATAATACCTTACAATTAGCATCAGTCCTAAAGTAGCCTTTTCCAGATGCCTCCCCTAATAGCACATGCTCTTGTCCACGTCAAGCAGTTAGGGCTATAACATGCAAGATAAATATTGCAAACCAACTAATGCCCCTGTGCAGCTAATACTCTTTGCCTTATGCCATCAGAAGCCATCTCAAGCTGGCTGCTATCCTAAAGTGGTCTACAGCAGTTACCTTCTACTCTTTCAGAGGGAGATACAGGTAAAATTAAGGTTCTCGCTACATGTAGGCATTTGACTTTAAGCATCACTAAAACCTTCCTTTTATTTTCCAGTACTGTATCTTCATTCAGACAGTTCTTTCTCATCTAGTATCTGCCTCCCTGGCCTTTCCAGCTTTTATTACAGCCATTAGTCTCCTACAGTGTCGCTGCTGTTATCATCTTCCTTAAAGGATATATCTTGGTTTTATCACATTGGAACATCCTCACGGGGTCCTCCACCATGTCACAGATTAAAATCCAGAGAGCAAGTGAGCATCCAGCCACTCTAATGACATGGTCCAATAGAGAAACTGGAACTCAACACCCTTAAGAGTTTTCATGATCCTTCTCCCTCCCCACCCAGAACAGACATCTCCAGCCAGATACAGAAAACAGCGTAAGCAATCAAACCCACCAAAATAAAAAAAAAAACCACATGAGAAACAGGCTGGAAAGGAGTTACTCTGCCTTGCCACAGCAATCTGGCAACAGCAGGACTCTGCAAAAAATAGACTGGGCAGAGCTTGGAGCATGTCAAAGATGTCTCCCTAGCAGAGGAATAGAGCTCACCTGTGCCTAAGTACAACTAGACCTCATTAGCTCAGCTCTCACCTTCACTCTAACTCCTATCAATTCTTATCTTCCCTTCCTCCCTAATTTAGGGGTATACATTGATGAGTCTGGCTGTAGCCCTGGAAGAAGGGAATGGTAATTTTCAAGTTCTAAAACAACTCATGTAACAGCCCTTTCCAACTCAGTTTCCAGAACATACTTCTGTTGTGCAACAGATATGTTTCTGGCCCCTCACTAGTAAGTTTAACACTCATTGCCACATGTGCCTTTTTTTTTTTTAAGGAGGCATGCGATGCCCCCTCCTGGAGGAAGCCAGCCTGGGAAACAAACCCATTCCTGCCCCAGCCTCTAAGCAGTATTTGACACCATCCAGGTCACCCAAGGCAGCTTCCCTCTCCACCTGCTGCTGCTCTCTACCAGCCTAAGGCTTCACCTCCTGTAGTTCACAGCATACAAGGAGAAGTATCCACACTACCTCCCACTGAGCATAGTCCATGGAGTGAGAGGATCAGCAGGAGAATGATGTGGAGGGTGTAATGCCTGGAAAAGCTTTTCCCCAAGCCTTTTGGGATAGTAATCTTCTGTTGACTCTGAATCTCTCTTGAAGAGCATCTTGCACCTCAAACTTTTAATCAACTGTTTTGTATATACTACTGCTCAACATCACTCTGCAGATGAGATGAAACCTGTAGGCCACTCATGCTGCAGGGATGCGAGGTCTTTTTCTGGCTTTTAATCTTTTTTCTAGGTTATCTGGATTTTTTTTAAAGGGCATCCCAGAAAAAAAAGTAAGAAGTTCCAAATACACAGGTAGTGGCACAGCAAATGGGGCTTACAAAGTGTTTGATCCACACTGAGATGAATGCTACATGGCATTCTGGTGAGCCAGACAGAGGAAGAGAGTATACTACAGTAATCCACTAGAACCCAGCTCACTTCTCAGCTAGAAAGCCCATCAGCTGACATCCACTTCTCTTGGCCTGCTTTTAAACTGCTCTTACAGCTGCGGGTTGCTGCTCTCCCTTATATGCATCTTTATATCCATTTTCTCTTACTCTGTTTGCTGGGGTTCTTGGGGTTTGTGTGGAGAAAAAGCATGGAAGTGTGTGGGAAGGAGGTGGGCATTGACCTTTCTTTGCAATTTTTTTTTTTTGTTTCTTTACCTTTTCGCTACACTTTCTGATGGTGGATGTGAGCTCACTCACTACCATATCCACACACTTCAGACTCGGCTCCTTCAACTTCTGCACCTGCTTTTTCACTATGGCTTCAAAAGCGAGGTCAGGCGTGAAGAGACCCGTTCTGCATGGCAGGGGCAGGGTGGGAGGAAGCAACGAGGAAGAAGAAAGCAAAGCAGAGAAAGAGCAGGAAGGAGGAGGAAAGAGAAGGAAGGAAAAGGGAAAAGAGAGAAAACACAAGGCAAAATGAGAAGTGAGATTTTGGTTCATTCCATTACTTTATTGAACCAGGTGAGCATTGTTATGGGGCCTGTGCACTGCCAAGTATCAGGAGAGTCTACAGGCAAATGGAAGTGGCAGAGGGGAATGAGGTAGGAGCAGCTGGGCCAGTGAAATGGTGAGCTGTCAAGAGCAAGATGAATGGATGCAACCCCCCAGGGATCAAGTGATCTCTTCCTGTAGGAAAGCTTCTTTGGATTTTAAGACAAAGCTGCTTGCCACAGTGAGCCACCGCCTCTCTTCCTAAAGGCTCGCCATGTCTCATTTCTCTTTGCCTCAGGCATTCCTCTCTCCTTCCCACCACCATTACCTCCCCTTCTTGTTTTCCTTATTCCAGCTGCAGGAAGCCTAAACAGGAGCCAAGCTAAGACCTGAAAAGGTCTGTCACTTGTATTCTGGTTTGGCAGAACTGAACCGAATTGATGTCTCTCAATTTCAGGGATTCAGACAAACTGTTCTACTTACAGAGCATATTTAATCATATTTCATATCTTTCACCTTCCCCACAACATTAACTTCCTCAGTAAGAACAGATGTACCCAGTATTTAGGAAAATGCAAACATGCCACATAGCTATATAAAGCATCCGTTCCGCCCCAGCTAATCTATAGCATCAGACCCAATACAGGCCTGTTGAGGTTTATAAAGAAGTATTAGTTTCCATCGATACTACTCAAGTAGCCTACATTCTCAGTGGCTCCACTGTGAAAGAGCAGGAAATCCGCAGAAACTACAGTTACTAAAATATGGCCAAGATTAATCCAATTCAAGACTACTGCACCCAAAGAAGTTTTTCAGCACATCTTTAACATGTTAGAGCTTCTACCAGGATGCTCTGTATTACACAGAGTTAGCTGGGTTTGCATGTGGCATTACTGCTTTGCAAGTGCTTTCAAGGGGACAATGTCCCCTTGACATGGGAAGGAGATACTGCCTTTCTAAAAGTACAGCAAATAGTCAATCTGGGGTGCATACAGCTGACAACCAATCCAGGGCTAGCTATACATAACCACACTTCATCTAAATCGGGTATTTCTCCCTTTGCCTCATCTTTCACATCTCTGGATAACACCTGCAAGACCCCAAGCAATACTAGCACTAAAACACTCTCCACCACATATTATAGGACTTACAACTAGTTTGCCTCTTAAGCAGCAAAGAGTTGAAATATGTTACAGAATTCAGCTTCACCCAAGGATCTCCCTCAAGGCGCTAAAAAGCACCTTCTGAGCAAAGCAAGGGCATTTCCAGAGTCAAGTTCACATCCTCTGACTCAGCAGCAGTTTCCTACTAATCCAGTTGCCCTGATAAGCTCAACATACACAGTTTCCCCTGTGGGAGAAACTTGGGGGGGCCTGCACAAAAAAATATTTTAAAAGCCAGTCCCTTCCAATACCTGAGTATCATCTGAATGACAACTTTTTTTTTCTTCAGATATAAAATTGTAACCATGACTACTAGAGCACACACAGAGCAACTAGCACTGAAATCAACCAACAAATTCTTTGCAGTGGAATCTAAGCCAAAATGGAAGACTTCAGTCCCGAATCTGTGTCATTTCCCCCATTGCTGTGGTCTCTTCCCCTCCTTTATTTCCCACCCTGCTGTACCCACCACCTGATCACTTGAGGAACCTGCTGCTGTCAGAAGAGATGGTCCATTCTGAAATTGTCAGTAAAAGAGGAAACAGAAAGAAACAATGAATAAAGAGGTGGGAAATGGATGGAAGGATGCAAAGAGAGAATGAATTGGAGATTTTTGAACAGCAATTGATGGATGAAGAACAAACCAAGAGAAGCTTCAGAGGGCATGAAAAAGGAGGGCCCTTCTGATCCAGTTAGCAGGCGACTCTGGATACTTGGCAGCCTGAGGGCCTGTGCTTACCTGTCGCCAGGCTCTAATGGCAATTTTCTGGGTGCTCCCCACAGTCACACACCCCAAGAGAGGACAGCAGGACAGAAAAAGGAAGCTCCTCCAGCACTCTAGAAACCTGAGCAATCTCTCACTGCATCCACTTTGCTTTCCCAGTCTGTCCTGGGGGGAAAGCACATGCCTGTATGCCTGAGCCCTTCTACAGAGGCTCTTGGCCCTAAGGACTAGGCATTTCTGCAGGCAATGGCAAGTATCACCACTTGGGCACCTTTCCCCACCCTTGCAGAGACAGGGTGTCAGACACTCCGCACACCTCCTGCAATGCCCATTTACCTGCACCTGAACAGTCAGTAGTGATCCCAGTCTCCAGTACCCATACCACCATCCTAACTGAGGTGCTTTTGCACCAGCCCCTAGCCCTGCCTGAAGCAGCAAACCATGGCCGAGAGGAATGGCACAAGTCATCTTAGCTTGCTGCCTTTCAACTCCAACCCCAGAAACAAAAGCTGCCGTATCCAAAGGGCAGAATCAAGGCAGGTTCCCTCCCTCAGCCCAAACAAATACCAGAATGGATCCCAAAGGGCAAAACCTGAAGCCCCCTCTCTCTGAGAGCAGAAGGACCCCAGGTAGACATTTCTAACTTGCTTCTTCTCAGCCATGTGCTGCTCTTCCAGAACAGGATATGGACCAAGCCAACCAGAAACCAAGCCAAACACCAAAGGAACACTTCCCTGCAATACAGCCCACAGCTATAACTGCTGCAGCCCCTGAAGTTCAGCCCCATACAACCCCCCAGCAGCACCCAAAGGCTGGTTTGGGATTAACCCTCTCACTTCTACAAGAACAGAGGGGACAAAATTTAAATTCCAGTTTCTGGCTTGGAAAATAAACCAGATACTTAAATTTAAAGTCAAATATGTCTATATAAGAAATACACTTGGTTTTAGAAGTAATCAGGAGTCATGCTACAGACAGAGGGGTGTCAGGGATATCTCCAGCACCCCTCAGCTCTAAAACATTTAGGGAGCAGGGCCATGGCCCATGTCCCACAGCGCTTCCCCTCCTGTTTGGCTTGTTGGCTGGATCGCCCCAGGCTGGTACCGCTCAGGTCTAGTCATGCTGAGGAGGTGGTTAGAAACACCGAGTGTGGCTGCAGGCAAGTCCCTGCCCAGGTCACAGTGCTGTGCTGCAGCCAGCGAGCAGAGGAAAGTGCCAGCTCCATGCTGCCTCCGGTTACCTTCTTGGTGCACTGTCTAACGGTATTGATTAACTCCGAAATGACCATGTCCACGCATTTCAGGCAAGGTTCTTTAATCTTCTTCACCTGCTTTTTCACAATGGTCTCAAAGGCCATGTCGGGTGTGAAGAGACCGGTTCTAAACACCCAGGGTGGGGACAAGACAAGGCAGGAGGGGGAGAAGGGGCAAGGAGAATGTCACAGCATTACACACACATCTTGGAGCAGGCACCGCCATCACTGAAACCCGGCACGCGGGGCTGGGGAGCATCAGGTCCCCCAGACAAGCCCTGAATGGAGTCCATGGAAAATGGTGGATGCTTGACACCTCCCAGGAAGGAGGTGCTGAGGGCAAAACCAATGTCAGCTGGACAGCCACGGCCAGACTGCCATTTCACTGCAGCCACCAGGCTGAAGGGTGGCAGGGGCTGACCCCTCTGCAGCGCATTTGACCTCAGAGTTATGCAGCAGATGGGAGGCCTTTTCTGAAATATTTTCTTAGTCATTAGGACACTAACACTTTTGATACTCTTTATCAAGCTCAGCCAGTGACTGAGCAAAACAAAGGAATAAAAATAAATCTGGGTCAGTATTTGTTCACATCCCAGCATGCAGGAAGGGCTCTGACAGGCACCAGGCCCTGGTCACCTTCCCAGGAGCAGCATGATTCAGGGTCTCAGGGCTGTGCTTTGACAGCTAACCTCCACTGAGGAGAACACAAGTGTGTTTGCTAACCACATCCTGGGGCCATAGTGATCCTGGTGATGAGCACCCCAATGTTCCCTCAGATGTCGAGAAGAGGTGCTCAGCACCAACAACTGTTTTGAACAACTAACTTTGGGTTAGTATGGAGGCAGAAAGCCAAAACCAGTGTTTAAAACTAAATGAAAGAGTAGTATGGGCTCACATCCCTCTTTCTATTCTTTCTTATGTCAAGACACAAGAAGGAAGGAGAAAATGTCTAGTCACCAAGGCAGTTTTACCTTTCAGGCTTCTGTGACTCTCACATGTGAAGACAAAGCAAGCTGACTTGGCTGATAGTCCCTACTCCCAGATTCAAGCCACCAGGGTGGCCCAAGGAGGTTATCCCTCCCCTTTGGCTGACCTACCATACCTCTGAAGTCTTCAGCTCCATTTGGAAGGTCTAGAGGTATTTACAAGGCTATGCAGCCAATGGTCTGCTTAGTGCATGATACGTGCCTGATACCATGGATGTTCTTGATGGCATAGCTAATCTCCCGTCGCAGCTCCTTCTCATCAAACTCCATCTGTACCAAGAGAGAATTTTATCAGAAACTGATGCTTATTTACACAACCCTGGGATACACAGCAGCATGCTTTACAGAGAAGAGGTCCCATGCCAGCACTGTCATGTGACAGATGAAATATTAGCCCAAATGTTGGATACAAAGTCCAGCCATAAAGCTTCTATTGGCAATGCAGACATCCTGGACAAATTTGAATAGCTAAGGGTCTACACTTACAGATGCCAAGCCCCGGCAGCTCCCAAGGAGCTTCTTAGAAATAAAGCAATAGGACTGAAGTGCTAGATTGCTTTCTAAAACAAACTGCTTTGTCTCCCAAGACTTAGCATAAGGTCTTGGCAGCTGTTTTTTCAATGAACACCACAAGCAGATTTACAATTCACATAAAAAAAGTATTATACAATACAAGGCAGGCTCTCAAATGTCACTAAAAAGGCTTCATCTCATTCAAATGCAAAAAAAAAAAAAAAGGAAGCAAAATGCAGAAAATCCAGGAGTGGAATGATTTGGCTGTCAAGTCTGTTCCAACTGACATTGAAAAAAGGTTTCTTCATACCACTTCTGATCAGGTTAGTGTACTTTGCCATCCAAGAAAATCATCACTCAGCAAAAATAATCTTCAGCTATGACAGTAGAACAGTTTCTACACTGTTCCCACCCTTAGGCCATTGATAGGGAACAGACAGAAGAAATCCCAGGTACATTTACATCCTCTTTCCTGCTTTTTGCATATCCATTGGGGAAACTTTAGGTACTCAGGGTCAGGAAGTACAAATTTCAGCACCATTCATACTATGTGAAAGTCCGTCAAAGTAGCTTTGACGCAACATATCTGCAAGGGCATCCAGCCATTGATTTACTACTGTGCGTTAAAGTTATTTTGCACTTAAAAGTGTTAAAGTAATTTAGCATTTAGGAATTAAGCCAAAGAAATATTGCCATTTAACTAAGAGAAAGTTAAGTTCTGTCACAAGGACAGGGACTGATGGAAAGGTCAGTATTCTGAGAAGGCTCCAATAAAGGAGACAACAAGAAGTAAAAAAGGTGATAAAAGGAAACACATAAAACAAAGTAGTCAAAGGGAAAGACAGATGATGAAAGATACCAAGAGGAATAGGGAGACAGGCAGAAGAGGTAAGAGACAACAGGCAAACAGACAAAGTGGATCTCAGCAGCACAGGGAAGCAGTACCTTCACCAGTTCAAAGGGGAAACGCTCATGGAAGATGCGGTTAATCCTAGCTCCTCCTGACAGCTCGTAGGTATCAATTTGGTCTCCAGAGCCTTCAATGCGTTTCTCAAAGTCCACAGCAAACTGCTGGACCATCCTGAAAGAAAACAAAAAGCATAAAGTAGACATTACGGCTGAGAAGTTATCCCCAGGGAGGGACATACAGCTGAGGCCACTTACTGAAGCAGAGCTTTGGTCTTGCGAGCAGGGTCATCAGGGCGAAAATTCTTGTACTCCTCCACCTCCTTCTCAATAGAGAGAAGCTGGCTTTGGAGCTTGTTCCGCAGCCCTGGCAGTGTGTCACGGATGTGGTTGGTCAATTGCTGCACAAGAAGGTTTAAGATGGTAGTAAACCTCTAGGTGATTACTGGGAAGTTTGCTACCTCAGCACTACAAAATAAAGAGGAATGCTCCCCTCTTCTGTGTTCAGTCCTTCTGAGAGTTCCTAATAAAGTCTAACCCAGTACAGATATCAGTTATGATCTGGGTGTATCCTGCCTCCCCAGCTCCTACCTATTTCACCCCTCTATTCTTGACCTTCATTTTACCTTCTAGTCTGGTACAAAACTCCCATTCACACAAGGCTGCTGTCTCCAACCCAAGAATAAGCTTCCCATACAAGTATCAGCATTTACTATTTACACCAGGGTAAAGGCTTTTCTGTCTTCAGATTAGCACACCACTAACACACAAGGTGGTGGTGAAGCTCTTTTTCAACAAAACAAGGTGGAAGGAGCCAAAACCACTGATGAGGCTCTAATAAGAGTGTTTCCACAGAGCACAGCTGTGGAAAACTCCAGTTTAACGATGAACATTTAAATAAGGAGGAAAAAGGACAGTAGTTCTTCACTTAAGGGAATATTTCAAGTGAGCAGAGAGGGAAGCACCAGTAAGCTGCTGCTACTGTATGAGTAGATAAGACAGTCTTAAGAGATGGGAAAATGATGATCAGTATCACATTTAAATCAATCTCTGCAGCTTACTGTTACATACAGAGATCACTAGAAATTTAGAAGGTATATTTTAGCTTAACCAGAAAGACCTTGTATTCTCATAGTATAAACACCATGAACCAGCTACTGATTTTGCACCAGTGTCATTGAGATGATAAAGCAGTGTTCTGTCTTTGGTGCGTAAGCTCCATTATTGGCCTTAATGCACAATTCCGATACAGTGAAAACCAAGTCAGGCACACTTCATAGGACCTGGCACCAAAATGCCTTTTATGATGCAGATATGGAAGAGTAACCAATCTTCACAAGTCTCACCACAGCAAAACAATTTTAAGTATTTATCAGTTTGTTGACCACACATTTTAGCTTTTCCTGTATTCTTCCATCTCAGAAGAGCACTGATGACCAGCCTAGACATTCTTGTGACACAGTGGGCAGCAGTTCTTAACTGTTGACAGTACCTGGTTCAATACTTTCTGCAGGTACGGGGTTCCCATGCGATCAGCCATGTGTCTGTAGGCTGGGTGGGAGAGAAAAAATTTTCTCTCTGCAGCCAGAGCTGCCTGGATGTCCTTCTTGCCATCAATGTCCTTCTGACTTCTGTTGACTACACCAATGTAACCTGTAAGAGCAGGGTTAGAGATCAAGTAGTTGCAAGGATGAAAATGTAAACAGGATTCAGACTGAGAAGGAAGCTACCCAGCTGGCAGTACTGCAAAAGGAGAATTCTAGTGGCAACACATTATTAGGAACCAATTGGAAGAATTTAAAACTAGAATTTCCTCTGAATTGCCCAGGTTTTGGTATTTTGGTATGCAAGACAAAAATGACTATGCAGCTGAGAATTAGCTTATTTATTACAGCTCCCCCAATCACAAAGTGTACCCTAGTCTCATTCATTTGAGACTCTTCTGTTAAAGTCCTTTAGAAGACAGCTACTTCGTTATGGCTATACACAGCATGTATCACAGCCCAAAATGATTTTATCTGATAGCCTATGGAAATCTAGATAAAAGATGAGGGGAGTCTTTTAGACAGGAGTTACATTTGGCAGCTTTTTGCAGCCTTATTAAAAGTAAGAAAAGAGAAGTAAAGGTAAGAGCATAAGGCTATGCTTCTGCCAGGACTATGTATCAAGATACAAGTATCTAAAAAGTTCCTATTAACAGCATGATTCATCCCTGATCCCCAACTTTTCTCAGTTCCAGCTTGGAACAGACATGGCTTAACCACAATTTGTAACAGATGTTCCAAGAAGGGGATGCACTGGAGGAAGGGGATAAGACCAGGACACCTCAAACAGGGAAATTAGAGGAAGGAGATCATGGACAAAGCACAAGGAAACATACCTCTACGAAGAGGAAGTAATTTATTTTCTAATACATCTCGTGCATCAGTTCCTTCATCCATAAGATCCAGCTTAGTGATAACTCCAATAGTGCGCTGCCCTGTGAAAAAAAACACAAACATAGTTGATCAAGCAAACAACTCGTGTAATATTTTCCTTTGTTCACAGGGCTTACAGATTGCCCAACTTGGCTACTCAAGGGCTCTTGAACTCAAACATTACAGTTCCCATCATGTCCAAGAGGCCACAAGAGCAAAACAGACAATCTAGCTCTCTTGTCAGTTATATCCTGCCAAAACATGCCATTACTATGCCACAGCAGAGAGGGATTCTAGTGCAGATTTTCCTACTTTTCTCCAGGCAGAATGCAAATGACTGAAGGAAAGGAAAGGAAATCCTACCCCTCTCCAGAAATGGGCTCAAAAGAAAAGGGGAATAACAAAAATTCTATTACAGTAGCTGTTACCACTCACAAACCCCTCTCAGAAGAATGCATGTTGAAGATACAACCCAAAACAACAGACAGGAGCCCACAGCTACTGGGCTAAAAATAACCAAAAGGTAAAAGGAAAAAAATCAGGCCACTGTCTAGTAATGTCATGGTAAATTAAGAGATCTTTACCTTGAGGATCCACTTCCTTTGCAATCTTCAGGGCATCAGAATTGGCCAAATCAGAGTTGGCTGGCGATACTGCCAGGATGAGGCAATTCTCTTTGGTGACAAACTGCATGAGCATATCTCGGATCTGAAACTCGATGTCAGGGGGCTGGTCCCCTACTGGGACTTTTGTCATACCCGGTAGATCCACCAAGGTCAGGTTCAGGACTAGACATAGGAAACAGGAGGTGGCACAAGGGAGCATTGAGATAGGAATGTTCTGGTCCATGAGAAGTACCTGTAGCTTTATTGCCTCCAATATATAACAGACATAACAGATGCACACACAGAACTACACAGAGCTTTCTAGTTCCTTTTTGTTACTGCTTAGTAAGAACTAGTTGCTTTTAGTCATGATTGCCAGTTATCATTACCCTTCCCTTTAAAATCACTTGTTTTCACACTGATCAGGGAAACAGTGCCGTCAAAGTCCTTCCACACATGCTACACTGAAGGGGAAGAGATGATTATACATTTTTTTCACTTCATGACAAAGACTGGAGAGTCAGGAAAGTTGGTTCCACTCATTAAGAGTTGTCCTCAGTACTGAAGGGCTCAATCCTGCGAGGCTCCTGTCAAAATCAGCTGGGCCTTCTCCCAAAGGACTACAACATGCAGCCCTGTAACTGCTTAATTGTCTTGCTAAGAGAAAAAATAAAAACTAAGAATCAAGCACAAGTTCTACTCAGGCAAATGCTATGGAGCACTGAGCCACTGCTTTCCAAAAAGTGCCCACACAGCTGTTCACATTCAAAGAGCCAGCAAATTTGAGGCCGTGTCCCTCCCTTGTTAGAGCAGAATTCTTCCACTGAGATCAGCAGCATAGGACATAAGCACTATCCAGAGAGAACTATGCAGAGTACATATTTACACACAAACAGAAGGCAAATGCTCTTCAAGAAAGCCACTCTCCCCATCAATTTTTTCGTTCCATTTATTTGTCCAGTAAAGCAGTATCAGAACACAGGGAGAGACAGCAACTCTTCACTGTAAGGCCCATACTGATGCAGAGGAACAGCCTCAGGAACAAGTTTCTGCACAGATATCAGTTGTTTCAAGGAGAAGTTCTGCTAGCAGTCAGATACTTCAGCTGGCAGACAAACCCATTCTTGCAGGATGGCCAAGGCCAGCAGTTTGATATAGCACAACCCAGACACATGGAGATTAAAGTCAAAAACAAGTACACTCCCCATTTCATCTCTGTTCTTTCTGTCTTTACTTCAAGACAAAGCAACAACCTGCCTCAGATGCTGCATTAGGACTCACCATGGGGAGAGTAGACTCGAAGATTGATGGGCACTGGGGAAATCCCTTTGTTGGAGCCAGTAACACGATCCGTTTCAGCCTCAATCTCCAAACGGACTTCCTCAAAATCAGTGAATTTCTTCCCTTTGCAGTGTAGGAACTCACCATATTCTATTTAAACAGAAGCAGAGTATCAGAAGTAGTCACTGAAATCAGAGAAACACTCAAAGTATAATGAAAACATGTCCTGAAGCAAAACAAAAAACAGTTGAAGGGATGAAGTCTGACAAGGGCCTTTCCCACTCAGACCTGGCAGGCTGTCATAGAAGTTAATGCAGTCATGCTGTCTGATCGACATCAGAGAACTCAGTTGAGCCCAACATTTTCACAACCCAGCTTTTGTCTCAGCAGAGGTAGTATCCTCACTTGTCTTCATTCAAGCAATAATCCAGGGCTTTTCTGTGTTGATACTAAGCAAACTGAGCATGCACCTGCCTGCAGCGGCTGCAACTTCCACAGCCACACTGGGAGATACCTTGGTACTCAAGAGAACCTGGACTAGCTCTGCATTGAAGTGCTGAGGGTAAATAAGTCTCATTACATAATAAGAACAGACTCAGGAGAGTCAAGAGAGCAAAAAACCTTCTCGACATCATTTTGAGTTGGCTGGTGGTTGGCATTTTTTGTGTGTCAGTCCTTGAATAAGCTAACCAATCCAAGAACCCACTGTTTCAATTTTAAAAGCTTCCTGAAAGTCAAATTATCTCCTTACTGTAGACAAGAGGACCTGACAAGAGAGGAAGAGTACCTTGAAACATTCACATACTAATTCCTGGATGAGATCTTAACTTATGTTAAGGGGAATGGTAATGAAAATATCCTGCAAGTTAGTAGCAAAACCAGTGAACTGCCCAAAAGACCAGCCACAGAAGTCCTGTAGTCTTTCTTCTTTAGATACCAGCGCTCTCACACCAGGTTTTCAGTACTTTAAATCATCTCATCCCCTTATTTCAGTAGATTATCAGCAGGGTCATCTGGCTTTTAGGTCTTACCCACTTGTAAGTCACAGCTGCACAGGCAAAAGAAAATTGTGGTAAGTGGAGCCTTGCCTAATAAATTAAAATAAAATAACTAAGAAGCATTTTGTTTCTGTACACTTAATGCATCAGACATTAAACAGGTAGAACTGAAAACCAACTGCAGGTCATTTTTACTGGGGAAAGTGCTTATTTATTTTTTCCTACACTGAGCAGTGCCACTGATCAAATAAGACCTTTCTTGACTGAGATCGCAATCCAGCTGGACACAGGGAAGGTAGCTCACATACCTGTGCTGGAGTTTACCAGCTGCAGGACCAGCGGGCGTCTGGTTACAATGCCAGATCCACGTGGCAGAAAGTCCCTGAAATGAAACAGGAAGTTTCAGATGACTGAATAATTGTTTCCTTCCCCTTTCAGTTTTTCTGCTTCTATAAGCATTCAGGGATTCTAACAGGGAGTCTCAGCCATGGGCACAAAAAAGTTTAAGGCACTAAAAACCAAGTGCTCCTCCTCAAGGAGGATAAGAACTTGTTGTTCTGAAGCAGCATATACTCACAGCACATCCCCTTGAATCCTCTCTGTAACAGCTACAGCTCCTTCAGCTCACATTCCAAGATAACTAACAAGCCAATTTAATACAGCTGTATGGAAAAAAATTAAATCTCTTTCATCAGAAAGAAAAGAGAAGTTGAAGCAGAGCCCAAAAACTAGCATACCTCCTTTTCACAAAATACTGTTACCGAACTACAACAAAAATCACTCACGCCCTGCACTCTGGGGCTTGAGAAGACACCACACTGTTCCAGCATGCAAACACCATATGATACATCTGAAAGAATAAACAGCAGCCAAAGGCTTGCCTCCACCCAGGGTTTCTCCTGGCTAACTACTCAACACGTAAGTATTGCCAAGGCAAAAGCAGCAGCAGCTTCCTTCTATACTCAAGAATCCTCAATTTTTGTGTACTCCAAATCATTTCAAAGGAAGGAAGCCTTTCACTATCCTTCTCCAAATGCTGACTTTGCAGCCACAGCCCACAAGCTCTCCTTTGCTTTTTCTTTTTCCAAATCCAAGTGCTTTGAGCAAAGCTAGGCATGCTCATTGAATCTGCCAATGACCTTGCTAGTCCGTGGCCTGGTTTTAAAGTACTTAGCTGTTCATCTGTCTCCTTAAGAGCCACTGACCATTTCACCACCCCTGAAGGTATTTAAAAGACAGGTAGATGTGGTGCTTAGGGACATGGTTTAGTGGTGGACTTGGCAATGCTAGGTTAATGGTTGGACTTGATCTTAAAGGTCTTCTCCAACCTAAACGATTCTATGATTCTAGTAAGATCATAACCCATTCTCATTATTTCAGGCTTTTCAGAAGTATAGAGCTAACCACGGTTTGTCTTTCATTTGTTTTTCAAATACAGCTCTAGTTTTTTCCATTCCAGTGGTATTAACCCTGGAATCTTTGAGGCATTGCATCATTCTAGTAGCTTTCTGCTATCTCAGCTCCATTCCTATAGATGTCTGTGGTCAGTATGTGGGAAAAGTCCTACCCTAGCATCAGTTTTTAGCACAACAAATATATCTGAGCTGCACTGACTTATTTTGAACTTACTGTACCTGACAAAAAAGTATCCTATTACTATAGATTCCCTTTCTAGCACACTGAGACAATACTCTAGCTATTGATCTCCAACTTGCAGTATCAAATCCTGCTTTACTGTAGGAAAAGCACCACTCGCGTTTACAATAATGAGCCCTCTAGAAATTAAGACTCCACCCATGTTGTGTTCCATGTTTTCCTGAAGCTTTCTGCTTTGGCCAAGATCCTGATTTCTCTGCTGTCCTTCTCTCAGCTACAAAGGCAACAACTCAGGACAAAGGTAGATGGAAAACCCATGTGGCACCTGGGCTCCAGCATAAAAAAGATCCAATTTATTGCATTAACTGAGCAGCTCCCAGACTATTCCAAGGAAAAACCACTAAGTTCTCATAGAAGACAAAACAAAAAATCCATTAGCCAAATCTAGTCACCTATATCAACAGTCTTACTGCCACTTTAATACCGAGTGAAAATATGCGGAATCTGATCCCTAATATCAGAAAATGAACATGTGTTCTTATCCACAAGCTACTGAGGGGTACATGCAGTTTTGTCTATGCTTGACTCCTATCAGGACTTACAGCCAAAAAGCCTTACAAAAAAAACCCAGCTGATGTAGTATTACCCCATTGTATCTATATTTCCTATTATTTTATTCACCTCTTCTCTCTACAGTCTCTTGGACAAAATCCTTTCTTCCTCCTCCTCCGGCTAAGCCTTTCAAATCATAAACACTAAAAATATACATATTAGTAAATTCTGCAGCAAGCTGGCTGGAAGCCAAGAGAAGGCAGTGTACAAGAGTCTTGCCTGCCCTCTTGCAGTAGGCATAATAAATTGCTTCTTTACATAAACTACAACAACAGAGCACATGTGGCATGGACAACATGCCCAGCCCAGGTTTTGAGTCCACTTAGGAGCCAGGGGAAAGATCTCCACACACACCTATTGTGCCAGAAAGAGCAGCACAGAGGGATGAAATTAAGTCAGAATCATATATATCAGATAACCACCATATGCCAGATGCCTTGAGCAGACAAGAGCAGAAGGATTAGATGAAGTGGTTTATTCAATTCCAGCACAGGAGATGTACAGTAGCAAGGGGGGGATAGAAAGATGGAGTAAGTTTTCAGAGATAACATACTGTAAGGCTCCAAGTGCTGGAACAAGAAGGGCAGCAGGGATTCCACTTGTAAGACAAGGCAGCCTCTAGCATGACATCAAAAGCAGGCTCATTATATACATCGCTATACAAGACTTTGTGCCTGAAATATGTTATTCAATTAGGTTGAGAGCACCAACCCTCTGTTTTCCTCATTCACTTTGTATCTTAAGAACTGAAAATTACTTTTTTGTTGCTTTGTAACATGCAGAAGTAGCATGACAACATTTGTTTCCTATGCTTTTAAGCAGGAGCACTGCACTGTGACACTTCTTCAGGCTAGGCTTCATCCAGAAAACACAGCAAAGTAGGAGCTAAAACAGACAGCTAAGCTGTATTCAGAGAATATACATACTTAATTTGCTTGTATCTTTTTGCTTAGCTATTGGCTCAAAATTCTTTATCAAGGTATTGAGGTATCAGTTCTAGTAATGCAGTTCCAAGCATTTTATCAAAGTTGGAATACTAGGATCAGATCAGCTATGTTCCCCAAACCATCAGTTACTGGAAGACTATTTATACATATTTCACACTCATTTTTATTAACTACTGTCAGAGGCAGGATATGAAGCTAGATACATTTTTGGTCTGACTAGCAATACATCTCCTCTTCTAAACAAAGACAACAAAAACAACCAAGGATGCAAATCCTGATAGGTCTCAGGCTGAAAAAGTTCAGGCAGGGGAGTGACCTGAAGAGGCATTTATTGTTATATTTTGCATAGCTCACTTCTGAAGTGCTTACACATGTTCTGAACTAGCTTCACAGCTACTTCGGGCAAACCCAATCACATCATCCCTTCCAGTCTTATTTCTATTTTAGTATGCAGAGCTGCATTAAAGTACAGATTTGGGCTGAAAGCTGCATTAGTAATGCAATAGTAAAAATAAATATTTGAGGGATGGAAAACAATCTAGCAGTTATGGTAGAACAACATTCAAACAAAATCCAAACACGTCTGAAACATATTAAGGCATCCTGATGTCATGTAACAACACATTTATAATCAGAACACCACGGACTTGGGGTTTCCCTCTTAGTTTTTTTAAATTAAAGCCACACACTCTATACAAAAGGCTTCCATGTATTAGGTATCTTGGAATCCTACAGAATAAAAAGGTGCTATTAATGATAGAAAAAGTACATGTTTGCTCTATAAACAAATTTCGGAGTTAATTTAATGACTTGCACAGTACAGAGGATTAGAAGTTAAAGGTAACACAGACCAAAGACATTTCTCCCTAGACTATAAAACACCGGAGACTGATAAACTGCTTGTAGCATTCAACACATACTGTATGGAAAGGGAAGAAAACATTGATAGATGCAGTCACAAAAAAGTAGGACAGATACCCATATGAAAAGTTTGGAACTTCTGAAGAAGCACACATTGAAACTTTCAAACAAGTTGCTTATGTTTACTCATTGCTACTCGACTGAGGAAAACACTACTATCTTCATTAAAAGACATGCATGAGCTGCTTTTCTGCGGTAGGGCCACATTTGTTCTAGAGAACACACAGTTTGCTAGTCAAAAATACTTGCTTACTCCTTTCATCAAACAATTGATCTCAATCTGATGTTTTCTTGTTAACGAGATAACCAGATCTGCGGAGGAGGAACTAGTCTTCCAGCATCTCAGCGATCACTACAGGCATGTTGTGCTTGGTTCACCTGCTTTGTTAGAATAAATGCTCTAACCTGATACACACAAGAGAAAAGTGATTGCATGAGCAAGTCTGTCCCTTTGTGCTTTGCTAGAGGCAGATTAGCTTACTGGTTTAGGTTTGTACTCTAAGGCCTAGAGATTTGCTGTAACAGTTACAGTGACATTTAATTCCAGCAATATAGCATTTGCAGCTAACTCACCTATGACCTTGTAGCTGTGCCATTCTGTAGTGGCAACCATAACTTCCTAACAGTGAAGGAAGGTAACGTACCAACAGCACCCCTACCTAGTGGCTCAGACTGCAACTGCTTCTCAATAGATACCCTTCCACTGCAAGCACATGCATTGTGCATTCCCTCCTTCCATCAAATTCAGGTGGAAAAGCACCTCTTCTGGCCATCTCTTTTGCACTGCACAAAGACACCATCTACCTTTTTGCAGCTCATCACTTTAATAACAGAGGCCCCCTGGGGTTTGTCAGGAGATCATTATATAGTACTGACCAAGATATTTAATTTCAGCTATAAACACACCCATGAGAGGAGACTGCATTAATGCAGATCTTCAGAGACAGACCCAACAGAAACACTTTCTTTTTGCTCCTGTGTTCTAGAAACCTTAATACAGCCAGACAGGAAGGCTTACTGCAATCCTTTATGCAGCACTACAAATGCATTTTTATGAGCCCAGCTCTCAACCCAGCAAGAACTCAGTTTCAGAACAGAAAGATACATAGAAAATACACACACATTTGTCAGTTCACAGGACAGGCAGCTAGGACTTCTGGACTATAAGATTAATTTTGCTCCTGGTTTATTGAGCCTCATAAACAAGTTACTCTGTACTGCAAATTTAAAGCAGTTTTGCACCTTCTCCATCCACTAGTAACCTGTATTTCTGAAAAGACTTTGAGTCAACCCTTTTTCGTACATGATTTTAGTCTTCACTGAAATTGCAAGAAAAGTCATCAGCAGTCAACAATAGAAGCAAGTCCATGGTACCATCTCTTG